TTGTTCACCATGTAAGAACTTGTTCGTTATGCTTCAGAAGATTGGAGACTGATGAGAATTAGGCTGGGGGTGGATTAATGATTGTGCATTGAGCATTGACTCCCCTATACAGAATTTTATTGTTGTTAACAACCATTTGATCAATAAATATGAGATATGCCCTCAAAAAAAAAAAAAAGAGAGAAGCTTATCTGACTTTGTCAAACCCAGTGTTTCCCTGGCTTATTGAGTGTAGAATCATTTTTTCTCTCTCCAAACAACACTCCACGGATCGTCACTTGGGAAACACATCCAAGATGCGAAGTGGCATCGCCCCTGCCTTCTTAACTTCCAGGAGATGCCATCTCCAGAGCCACTGTCCCAGGAAAGTTGCCACTGAGCAGAAGCCTCAAGGGAAAGGCAAGCTTAGCTGAGAGAGGAAGTTGGCTGTCCTGTTCATAAGAGAGAAAGGTAAGAGCCTCCAGCCAGTAAGATGGGCATCTCTCAGCATCCCCTAGAGCAGGTACAGTCTCATCCTTTGGCTGGACTTGAACTAAAGACCAATTCATGTGTCCACCTAATACCCCAACCCTGTCCAGCTGGGCTCCCCATTCTGTCTTCTCCTAGTTCCTCTGCATCCCCCAGGACTTGGGACAACCTACCACCCTGACCTGTGTGTTCTGAGAGTCCTGGCCTCTTTGAGGTGGAAGGAAGAAAAATCCTGCTGCAGCTCCCTCCCTCCTGCCTAGACTCTTGGCTGCCTTCTGATGCGGGACAATACAGGGAAATGCTTGCACCCAAATGACTCCACTGCTTCAGGAACTGCCTGACCCTGCCCAGGAAAATGAAATCCTGCAGCTCCACCCAGCTGCCCCCTCAGTCTGCCGACCAGGGACCAAAGCTGGAGGGGTGACCCAGCAGAGGGGTCACCAGAGCAAACAGGGTCACAGGTGGCACCCTTCATGTGGGCAAGAGTGGAGCTCAGGATCACGTCTCTCTGGTGACTAGGGCTTCCTATCCTGCTTAGAAAGGGAGCTTCTGTGCCTGCCTGTAGAATGTACTCCTGCCTGCCTGCCTGCCTGCTTGCCTGTAAAAACCAGATTGTCAATATTTATCTGGAGAACCACAGCTCTGGATGAATCTGGCCTGAAGATAATGAAGACAGCACTTTGATGTGATTTGAGAAATGTGTTAATTCATTCAACAAGCACTTGTTGCACTTGGGTTCTGTACCAAGCCCCATCCTGGGCCCTGGAGACCCAGGGGTGTGTCAGTCCCACCCTGTCCTGGAGAGGCCCACGGGTTACCGGGAGAGAGAGACACCCAAATGCAATAGGACTGGACGACAGGTGGGTGCCTGCTCTGCCCCAGCTGCAGTTCCTCCGGAGAAATACCAGCCTGGTATTGGCTAAAGCAAAGGGCTGCAGGGATCCGTGCACACATGGGAGGATGGGCGGTGGGGGGGCCTTCAGCGAATGCACCTGCAGCCCTGGCCACCAGCTCAGGAAACCACAGGGTTGATGCAGTTTGTACAAGCAAAGGTCTCCGTCCCCATGTTTGATAAAGGCTGAAATGCCCTCTGGTGGCTCCCTTCCCAGCAGCCCTTCCCACCAGCTTTGATTCTGTGCCCACCCATCCCAGCAGAGCGCTTGGTGAAGAACGCAGGGGGTGGGCGAACAAACACGGCGGAGACAAAGCCGAGTGTCTTCTCCGTGCTCGTTGGCACAGACATGGTCAGATCCCTTCACCCACACTTGACCCCCCACCGGGTGACCTCGAGCATTCCTGAGCACAGACCTCGGGGGGCATCAGCTTCCCATTTCCAGCAGTGCAGAGAAGAGAGAAGAGAGTCAGTGCCCCCAAGCCCTCAACTCAACCCCAGTGAGGCTTGCTCGGCAGCCTGCACCTTGTTCTTACCTTGTAGGAAACAGAGGCTGAGATGGAGGGGCCGACTGCTGGGGGCAGCTAAGGTCAAGGCAGCCGCCAGCTTGTCACAGCCCCTCACGCCCACCTCGCCCAAGTGCCAGAGACTATGTTTTTGTGTTTCTTGGGGGGAGGGGGGAGGGGTGCAGCTCAGAGCCTTGAGTGATGAGTTAAGTGACAATGAATTTGAACCACATGGAGCCCAGGCTTAAGGGGAAAGTGTTTTGGTGAAATGCAGCTGAGATTTCATCAGCCCGCACCCCCCAGACAGTACAAAAATAGTCTGGGCCAGGCAGGCTCTGACCCACAGGCCTGGCCCAATTTCGCCACCCCCTGTCCTGGAGAGAGTCTTGGAGTGGCCTCTTTCCCTGAATCTGGGTTTCATAATCTTCCTTGTTTTGGTTGCCTGTTTGTTGACTGGCCTGGTTCATCCGGGAGAATGTGCTCCCTGACAAGCTCCCCACTGCTTGGCCCTCAAGAGATGGGAGGCAACAAGCCAGTAACAAGCCTCACAATGGCTGCAGACTGCTAAGGTGGCCACAGTCACAGCCAGGGCACAGGTGGCCAGCCTCATGGCCTTGGGAATGTGAGTGAGTGATGGGCACTGGATGCCAGCACCCAAGGTGGGCTTCACCCAGGCAAGTGCTGGAAAGCCCTGTCAACATCTCAAGTCCAACCCCATTTCTCAGAGGGGAAAACTGAGGCCAGAGGCAGGCAGTGAGGAATCCATGGCACCAGAAACTGTTAAGAGCACTGCCGGGGCAGTATGTTTGTGGATTGAGGAATGGTCAGAGCCCTTCACCCTAATCCTTGGCTCAGAGGAAGGAAACAGGGTTGGACAGGCCTAGAAGGCAGACAGGCCTCCACTACCTGAGCACCTATTAATAATCATCTCCTTCCCCCAGATCTGAAAGGTGAGAGCCACTCCTGAGGGCCCCTCGCAGAGTTGGTGTCCGAGCAGGCCCAGCAGCAGGACTGGGGACAGCAGCTCCCAGGGAGAATGAGATGCACCCGCAGGGAAGCCAGGAGTATTGGGATAGGGAGTGAGACAGGGACACTCCCAGGTGAGGGGCTCAAAGGCAGAGCCCTCAGCTACCACGTGCCTTAGACCAGCTAATGGAGATGCTGTCCTGACTGTCCAGAGTCACGTGGAAACCTTGGCCCAGCCTAGACCAGGGCTGGCTGCGGCTGCCCTGCCCTGCCAGTCTGAGTGATGGCCTGACTCAGCCAGGCTGCAGGGCCGCAGGCATTCAGAGGCCACTGAGAACTAGTCTCCTGTCCCGGGCACTCAGGCAGGACCCCACCTCCCAGGTTACCATCCAGAGCATGGAAACCCAGCAAGACCCAGTCCTGGGGACCAGGATGGACACAGAGCAGGGAACCTCGGCAAGTGGCAGCAGAGCAGCTCTGGGCTCTTCTTCAAGCTGTCACCTGGGCTGCAGCTTCCCCATCTGTAAATCGGGCATTTTTTGGGACCTGAAAAACATAATGGATGTCAAAGGAAAGTCCCCCTGGTGGGGAGAGGCGAGGCACCAGGAGGGGCCACAGGAAGTCCCCACATGGCCAGCTTGTGGGGGAAGCTAGGCCAGCTGGGGATCAAGAAAGGGTCTTCTGTGCAGCCCAAGGAGGGGTCACTGAGCCCACTGCCCTTCTCCCAACTCTCAGCCTGCCCAGGGGCCAAGTAGATGCTGTCAGGTCTCAACCAGCAGCTTCCTCCTCTTGCCAAATTCAGCTGTGAAGAGGCCAGTTAATGTGGGTCTTTGCCAGGAGCATCCTCCACTTTGTCCTCAGGCTGGGCACCCCAGAGAGAGCCGAGACCCATAGGACCACACAGGACCCGTGTCTGTCCTTCCTGCCTCAGTCTCCCCGAGGGGCAGGGGGAGGCCAGAGCACCTCAAACGCACACAGGAGGCACATCCTGCACACTCCCATCCGCCACCATTGCTCTGTGGACCCAGGAATCCACCCAACTAGAAACCTCTGCTGGCCCAGGCTCCCCACCTCACTTCCAGGAGGGCTTCCTTTCCTTTCAGTCCCATTGTTCTCCCCCAAGCCCCGGACCACCCTCACAGCCAGGGTGAGTCCAGTGGAAACCAGCCAGCTAGGGAATGGGGTATCAGGCTGGGCTCTGGGAAGCCTGGGCCAACCCCAGTTTGTGGGATGGAGGAAGGTTTCTTTCAGCCCTCTTGGCAGGAGTGGGAGTTAGGGGTTCAGC